TTTCTCAACTCTGTTACTGCCACTGAATCAGCAGTGACAGTGGGTGTTGGAAGCAAGCTCTTGAGATCTGAAAATAAGAAATACAGAAATGAGAAGAGAGATTCTGAATTGCAGATATTGGCTTCATTATATTCTCAAATCCTTTGTGTATGCAGGAAGCAGGCATGATGGGCATCGTAAGTAAACAAATTTTCATACTTCAGTTTAATTTAGTATTTTATAATACTTTCCAACTTAGGTGGTCAGAGTACAAATTCTGATGCAGATAAACTTGGAGAGTTAAATTCATGGAGCACTGTTCAGGAGGCAGGTATAGCACAAGTATCTGCTGAGAAGGGGGACCCCAAAAGTAAACTTCATGAGTCTTAGTTTTGGCTGATCGGTACGAGGAGCTCATGTACATACGTTACACACATACACTATGTCACTGGAAGGTAGTGTGTATTGTAAATATTCTACTGTGTAACATTTCAAAAGGTATTTATTTCCCTTGATAGATACACAAACACACACACACACAGGAAGAATACAGAATGTTAGAGCTGACACACAGCTTACTCCCTGTGTGAATGTGTGAATAGCACACATTTACCTTGGATACACTTAAGAATAACGATGGAAGTGCCTGCCACAGGGTCTAGCTGTCCGACATGGTAGGCATTCTATTACGTCTATGAAGTATCAATTTCCCATAGGCAGTATATCTTGCGTGTGTAACAGAAGTGGTCCTTTGGATGTAGGCAGGAACTTTGAAGAGTTGTTCCAACTGTGACAGGTATAGATATTTGCCAAGGTTGGGTTCCTTTGTAATACTCATACAGAATTGATTCCTTTCTTTCCGAGTATTTATTTATTTTGTATACTCAGTTATTTGTTTAATATCTGTTTTTTGCACTGGACTCATCTTCTTAAGGGCCAAGGCCATGTCTGCTTTGCTCAGCACCGTAGCCTCAGTGTCTTTCATAGAACCTATCAGCCTTTCTCAACTGTAGTTCCTTATCTGAACCATGGAACACAGAAAATGATTCGAGGGGCTATCTTCTCATTTCTTTCAATTTTACATAACTAGTAGCATTCTAGATGACTAAGAAATTAATTCATTATGTAGAATGGATATATTAGGACATTAGGGCTTACTTTTCTTATGGAAACTTGGTTAAGAAAGCCTAGAACATACTTTGGTGAATGAGGATGTATTCTGTTGCAAATTGAGGGTGAGAGAGGGATGACTTCCCAAATAATACTTTCTGGTAGTATGGTGAATGAATATTGATTAGCTAAAAAAAATGTCCACTAATCGCTCCATAAATATTTACTAAATGAATGTGTGAATGGGACTCAGGTGTCTTAGCTCAGGTCCCTCTTCTTTCTCAGACTGATGCAGAACCAGAGAATGATGTGGTTGTACTGAGTGACTGGCCTGAGAATCTGTATGAGGACTCTCACCATCCCGAGAACAAGCCTTTTATTTGCTTTTACTCCGTTAGTGTCAACTATTTCATCTCCTTAAACTGGATGGAACCATATGGAACACAAATGCAGGTAAAGCTACTTCATTCCCCGCCCCCTTCTTAATCCAATTTCCATGCATCATACCTAAATGCCTGCATTTTACAATGATAGGGATGACTCTGTATTAGATCATTTTAGCCCATCTCCAAATCCTAATTTGGCCTGAATGCAGTGATCCTTTTTCATCTCTAGTTATCAGCCCCAGAGAATGCATTTTCCCCACAAAGTAAGCTGAAGGCCAAGAAAAGGGCCTTGATCACATGCCCAACTCCTAGTTCCCCCATAGCCATGGCGGATATGTTTCAAGACCCACAGTGGATGCCTGAAACTGCAGATAGTACCAAACTTGATTGTCATCAGTCAGAACATGTTTCTGTTCATGTCTTTCCACCCACAAATTTAATTTTTTTTCCATCTTAACTAAGCACTTATCAAGCACTGTGGCCATAACTTTTGTAGTTTGAGGTATGATAGCAAAACTAGTACAAATGTCTTTTTCCTTCTTCACAATTTCAAGGATAGAAGAAATGTTCTTACCATAGATCTAAGCAAGCTCAGAATACAGTTTTTTTTCTTTTCCTTACTAAGTTGAGAGTTTTCCACTTTTCATTTAAAGGAAGCACTTTACGGCTTCTCTTTGTCATATCTGAATTGCCAGCATCACTAGTCTTGTGCTTTAGGGCCATTATTGAGTAAAATAAGGGTCACTCGAACACAAGCACAGATACTGTGATAGTTAAACTGATAACCGAGATGGCATAAGTGACTAACAGATGGGTAGCGTATACAGTGTGGGTATGCTGGACAAAGGGATGATTCAAGTCCTGGGCAGGACAGAATTGGACTGCGTGAGACTTGATCATGCTACTCAGAATGGCATGCAATTTAAAACTTATGAATTATTTCTGGAATTTTCCATTTAATATTTTTGGACTGCAGTTGACCATGTGGGTAACTGAAATCACAGAAAGCAAAGCCATGTGATAAAGGGGGACTACTGTATTAGGAAACTCCTAAAAATCAAGCTGTCCAGTCTTTCCTTAGTCCCATAAGTGGGAACAGGGATTTGAATATTCAGCCCCACCCTACCGCCCCACACTTTTGGAAGATGATCTGCCTCCATGATCAGGGTTTCATCTCTCATCTTCTTCTAGGGAGTACTTTGGATACAGAAAAAAGATAAAAAGATGAAAGTAATGATAGAGAAGATGAAGTTTCACATGTTAAATCAAGTGCCACCCATTCAAGCAATGGTCCACACAGGGTCCTACCACATGTTAATTGCCTACTGTGGTGACATGCGGCTGCAGCTCTTTGGAGATCACCGTCGAGCATTCACATCTCTGGGTACAGTGCCCTGTCATTTCTCCATCAGCTGCCTCTGCTATGACTCAAAAGCCGACATGCTGCTATCTGGTACCTTGGGGGCTGTGGTTACCTGGTTTATCTTACCAAAGGGCAGGGACCTCCAGGTGGCTCAAACAGTGCCTATGGCTGGTCATGAGCTTGTACAGGGCTTTTCCCTGAATGGCCCACAGGGCTCCCTGCTGGTTCTGTGTGAGAATACAGTGAGGGTCTTCACCCACCAGGGTCAGGGCAAGCTGGAAGAAGTAAAGAAGTTCACTCCCATAGCCAGTGGCTCTTCCATCACTTGCTCCTTTACTTGTGTGTCTCAGGGCAGTTTCTATGCTGGCAACAGGGCCGGAGAGATCCATGCTTGGGGTTTAGATCAAGGTAACTTCCTGCACAGCTTCCAGGCTCACTCCTCATCTGTGATATGTATCCACAGCCGGCCAGACATCCACACCTTACTAACAGCAGGCAGTGAAGGTCTAGTGAGGGAGTGGAGTCTCACTTCTGGGAACTTGCTGCGACAGCTATATATTGAGGAGGATCTACAGAAACTGCAGTTTATTGATAGCACCACTTTTTTCTGCCAGACAGCCTATACCTTCTCATTGCACCACCTGCCCTACTTTTATAGCCTCTTCCATGTCTGTGGTTCTACTCCCCAGCAGGTCCAACGGGTCTACTGTGGCCGTAATTGGACTCGGATCCTGTGTGCCACTGAGGATGGTTTATTGCGCTTCCTGTCTCCAGTAACCGGGGATCTCCTGGTTATCACCTGGCCTCTACTTATCATGGATAAGGCTGTGGCTTGGGCCTATGATTCAGACAGAGAAGAGCTCTTTGTGGCAACAGGCAGTTCGGAGGTGCTGGTGTTTGATGCAACGCGTTCTCCTTGCACAGCCAAGTATCTTGTGTGCACTTCAGCAAACCCCACAGATACAGTAAGATGCCTGGCCTATGCGAAGTCCCATTTGTATATAGGCCTAGAAGGATTGATGTTCTGTGGGCATGACAGTGGCATTGTGAGAATCCTCTCCCCCTATAGTTGTGCCCGAACAGAGAAGACTGTTCACTCTGGGACAGTATTGGCATTGTCTACCCTGGAAGGTCCCCAGGAAAACTCCTTGCTCTGTTCCTATGGCACGGATAACATTGTACACCTGACAGAGGCTGTGCTTCAAGGCAACAAGGTAGTCCTACAACCTCTCAGCAAAATTCTCTGCAGATGTCCTCTAAAACATGTGATACTCTTGCCAGGTTCCATAGGCGCCATCGCTGAGAACGACTGCTGGTGTCTCTGGCACTATGAAGACTTTCTGACATCTTCAGAATCAAAACAAAGCTCTATGTTTAGAGAGACAAAACGCCTGCATGAGTGTGCTATTGCATCATTTGATGTCTGCCTTTCCCTGAAACTTTTTGTCACAGGGGGTGTTGATGGTTCAGTACGGATCTGGGACTTCCATGGCAGACTTGTAACTGAGTTGGACTCAGCATTGCATTTTGGCCCACTCTGCTTTGCCAATAATCGGGGCGACCTACTGTTGACTTTCAACCAGAGTATCTACATGGTGTCCTGCTTAGAATTGCTCCCTCCAGTTGAGCTGATTCAGCTACGTGTCCTAAACAATACAGATGAAATACCAGAAGTTCCTAAACCCTTCCTGCCTAGCTTCTTCTTTATGTTTGAAATAGTGTTTGTACCCAAATTTGTCTACCTTGGACAAGGGCTGCAAGAATTAGCGGGGCTGGAGACCCTTGTTAACAAACGGGTCATTGCCTTTGATAATACTGTGCCCCATGTTGTAGAGGAAGGGAGACATATGTCCCCCGTGACTCAAGAGAGAACCAAATTGCAATTTTTGGAGGATAAGGATATTGATTTGTCTACTCTTGACTCTAAGCATGATCGTCCCCCACACGTGGTTCCTGCTCAGTTAAGGCTGGCTGGCTGGGATGGATTAAATGCCTACTGTATATTACGGGGTTTCTTTGGTCAAGGGCAACAATGGCCCTTGGCTCCTGATGGCTACATCCCCAACTCAGTGATCCGCACCCGCCTTTGGCCCAACAGTACCCCAATCTTCCTAAACTGTGATTTGTATACACCCTACCAAGATAAGGACTGGGGTATGATTGAACTCTCAAGATCCCAGGCACTGTTCCCTATGGCTCTAGTGGAAGAGAAAATCTCAGTGAGTAAATGGAGGGATAAACTCAAGAAGCAGAAAAGAACTTCCTTTAGTATTATTGAAAGCATGACAAACCAAAATTGGATGGGAAGAAAATTTAGTGAAAGCCTTATGAATCATTTAATAGAGGCCATCCTCAACCTCACAATTTACTGCTCTGTAGAGGAATACAAGAAATATTTTAGTGTCCTGGCACAAATTTTTGCCTCTTACCAAATATCTCCAGGGTTGCGCTCTGAGACTGCCCGTCGCCTCCTGGACGATAGAACCCATTCCAATCCATGTATCCGTGAGCTAGCCTGGGAGATGCTGGACAGGCTAGGCCTCATGAGCCATCATTTTGCTATTCCACTGGCTATGGGATTGATGGACAGTGATAAGAATGTGCGGAGTAAGGTCTTATACCTTATGGTAAGAGTCACAGGCATCCAAACCAAGACCATGTTAACACACCTGCTGAAGAAACAGGATACTCTCCAGAAAATGCAGTAAGTTGCATGGCGAACTTCCCATTTTCTGGTTTCTTCTATATCCTAGGCTCCAGAATCTGACTGCTTCTTCCCCTTTTCCACAACCTTTTAAAAATTCTTTTTCTTGCCCTTTGTTCTTTGTTTCTATTTGCTCTTTCCCCCAGCACCTATCCCTTTTCTGCTGAACACTGACGAGCTTATCTTTCCATCATATCCTCACTTCCTTAAGATTCCTCAAGACACAAGTTCACAAATCCCCCAATCAAAGAAGCATCATGTGTCACCCTGACTACAGGTATACTTTGGAGACATTGTATGGTTGTTTCCAGAACATCGTAATAAAACAAATATTTCAGTAAAGTAAGTCATGAAATTTTTGGTTTTCCAGTGCAAATAAACGCTATATTTACTTTATATTGTAGTCTATTAAGTGTGCAATAGCATTATGTCTAAAAAAATGCACATACCTTAATTAAAACTACTTTATTGCTAAAAAGTGCTAATGATCATCTCAGCCTTCAGCCAGTCCTAATCTTTTTGCTGGTGGAGGGTCTTGCCTCGATGTTGATGGCTGCTGACTGATAAGGGTGGTTACTGGAGGTTGGGATGGCTGTGTCAATTTCTTAAGAAAACAATGAAGTTTGCCACATCAATTGACTCTTCCTTTCACGACAGATTTCTCTGTAGCATGCAATGCTGTTTGATAGCATTGCACAGAACTTCTTTTAAAATTGGAGTCAATCCTCTCAAACTCCACCTCTGCTTTATCAACTAAGTTTATGTAAGATTCCAAACCCTTTGTTGTCATTTCAACAATGTTCAAAGCATCTTTACCAGGAGTAGATTCCATCTCAAGAAACCACTTTCTTTGCTCATCCATAAAAAGCAACTGTTCATCCATTCAACTTTTATCATTAGATTGTAGCAATTTAATCACATCCTCAGGCTCCACTTCTGGTTCTCTTGCTGTTTCTACTACATCTTGCAGTTACTTCCTCCAATGAATTCTCAAATCCCTCAAATTCATACGTGAAGGTTGGAATCAACTCCTTCCAAATTTCTGTTAATGTTGGTATTTTGACCTCCTCCCATGAATCGTGAATATTCTTAATGGCATCTAGAATGGTGAATCCTTTCCAGAAGGTTTTCAATTCTCTTTGCCGAGATCCATCAGAAGAATCACTATCTGTGGAAACTATACCCACACGAAATGTATTTTTAAAGTAGTAAGACTTGAAAGTTGAAATCACACCTTGATCCACGGGCTGCAGAATGGATATTGTGTTAGCAGGCATGACAACATTAATCTCCTTTTACATCTCTATCTGAACTCTTGGGTGACCAGATGCATTGATTTCAATGAGCAGTGATATTTTGAAAGGAATCTTTTTTCTATGCAGTAGGTAGTCTTAAAATGTTCAGTAAACCATACTGTAAACAGATGTGCTGTCATTCAGGCTTTGTTGTTCCATTTATAGAGCAAATGCAGAGTAGATTTAGTCTTATTCTTAAGGGGCCTAGGATTTTCAGAATGGTAAGTGAGCACTGGCTTGAACTTAAAGTCACTAGCTGTATTAGTCCCTTATAAGAGAGTCAGCCTGTCCTTTGAAGCTTTGAAGCCAGCTGTTGATTTACCATGTGTAGCTATGAAAGTCCTAGATGGCATCTTCTTCAAGTAGAAGGTGGTTTCATCTCCATTGAAAATCTGTTTTTTAGGCTGGGCACAGTGGCTCACACCTGTGATCCCAGCACTTTGGGAGGCCAAGGTTGGAGGACTGCTTGAAGAAAGGAGTTTGAGACTAGCCTGAGCAACATAGTGAAACCCTGTCTCTACAAAAAGTAAAAAAATTAGGTGGGCATTGTGGCACCTGCCTGTAGTCCTAGCTACTTGGGAGGTTGAGGCAGGAGGATCACTTGAGCCCAGGATTTGGAGGACTCAGTGAGCTAGGATCATGTCACTGCACTCCAGCCTTGGCACCCTCTCTCAATAACAAAAAAGAGAATCTGTTGTTTTTGTAGACACCTTCATCAATTATCTTAGCTAGATCTTTTGGATCACTTGTTGTAGCTTCTCTATCAGCACTTGCTGCTTCACCTTGCACTTTTATGTTATGGAGATGGCTTCTTTCCTTAAACCTCATGAACCAACCTCTGCTAGCTTTTCTTCTGCAGCTTCCTCACTCTCTCAGCCTTCATAGAATTGAGGAGAGTTAGGGCCTTGCTCTGGATTAAGCTTTGGCTTAACGGAATGTTGTGGCTGGTTTGATCTATCCAGACAACTAAAAGTTTCTCCATATCAACAATAAGGTTGTTTTGCTTTCTTATTATCATGTGTTCACTGGAGTAGCACTTTTAATTTTCTTCACGAATGTTTCCTTTGCATTCACAACTTGGCTAACTGTTTAGCACAAGAGGCCTAGCTTTCAGCCTGTGTCAGCTTTGGACATGACTTCCCCTCTAAGTTTAATCATTTCTAGCTTTTGATTTAAAGTGAGAAACATTCACTTCTTCGTTTCACTTGAACACTTAGAGACCACTGTAGGGTTCTTAATTGGTCTAAACTTAATATTGTTGTATCTCAGAGAATAGGGAGGCCTAAGGAGAGGGAGAGAGATGGAGGAATGGCCGGTTGGTGGAGCAGTGACAATACACACATTTAAGTTTCTCATCTTATATGGGTGAAGTTGGTGGCACCTCAAAACAATTACAATAGTAACATCAAAGATCACATATCATTATAACCGATAAAATGATAATGGAAGAATTTGAAATATTGTGAGAATTACCAAAATGTGACACAGAGACAAGAAGTGAGCCATGCTGTTGGAAAAATGATGCCGATAGAATTACTCTATGCAGAGTTGTTACAAACCTTCCATTTGTAAAAAATGCAGTATCCAAAGTGCAATAAAGCAAAGCACGATAAAATGAGGTATGTCTGTCCTCCATTCCTTGCTGTTCCTCATTCCTTCTTCTTTATCCATATTTCACTTCAGCTTATTCTGTTCTAAATTACTGCTTCATCCTTGCCTCTTCCATTGTAACTTCTTTTTTCTTTTTATTTTCTTGAATTTTGTTCTATCACTAGCTCAGTATTGTCCTTCTTTTCCCTTGACTTTTGTAGGCAGGAAATTATTGGGGAAGTCTCTCTGGGTCAGCTGCTGGGCATTCAAGCTACAGATATCCAGTGCCTGCTTACTCACGTGGAACACATGTTAAATGAAAACCTGACCTTGCCACATAAAGACAAACCACTTTTTCTTTTGATATGTCATGGGATGATGAACTTGAGGTCCCTTCTGAAGAAATACTCACACCTTTGTCAGAACCTATAAAGATCACCAAACTGAAGAGAAGAAAGAGACATTTTCGAGCAAAGGGCAGAAAGCTTCGTATGTATGGGGTGATGTATGGGGCATGTTTGGGGCCAACTTTAGAGACCCAAAAGGCAGGGCTAATAAGCCCAAGATATATAAAAGGATACTGTTGGGAACAGAGTTAAGTGGGAGAATCTTATTCACAGAAAGTAACCTTCCTGAGAAAGATCTACCCCACAACAAATACAAGGTCTTATTTCTTTAGAATATGGAAGCTGGGATGAAACAGCAAGCCTTTCTATATTACTAAGCCTCAGTCCCCTTTGCCTTTATATCTCTTATGGCAGTTCACTGAGTTAGATATTACACTCTAATTCACACTCACTCAGGACCTCGGTGTTTTTCTTAACTATTTTTCTCTCAATGTTTCTGCAGTTAAAGAGAATCTGACAGTTGCCAGGAAGCACAGAAAGACAAAATTGGGAAACTCTGGTTCTGTGTCAGTGCCTTCAGAGGATGCAGGTGAACAAAGAGAGGCCAGGAAATCAGGGCAATTTCAAACTCAGGATGTTGCCTTAGAGCCAGAGCTACCACTAAGCACTTTCAGTCCAGTCAAATCCCAGGATGATGCTGAAACAAAGGAGGTCATGCTGGAAGCTATAGAAGCCATGGAGGTCCCAGAAGCCCTGGGGGCCACAGAGGCCATGGAGGTCCCAAAAGCCCTGGGGGCCTCAGAGGACATGGAAGCCATAGATCAACGTAGCACAAAAGATTATGGAGAGGTGATCCCTAAGGTGGAAAGATACAAACACATAAAAAGTGTTTGGAAAAAGGCATTGAAAACAAGCCGTAGAAGAGCAGATGTGCAGAGGAAAGAGAAACAAGATTTGAAGGATATTTCAGAGGCAACTACAGAAGAGTCCAAGGAAAAAGTCAGACACGTTTCTGAGAAAGAAGAAGATACAGAGAAGAAACTGGGTAAGAGGAGCCGTGGTTTGGCTGGGACCCCTGGACGCGCAGCAGAAACCAGGTCTTGGAGGGATGACATTTGCTGTCTTGTCACCTCAAGGACAGCAAGTTCCCATCCAGGAATGTTAAGGGATCTGGGTAAAGAATTAGTGGACCTTGCTCGGGTGATGCTTGCTGACCGACAGCCCAGCTGGGATCTCTTCCAAGAGATACGCCCCCTTTTAAAGGAGTCAAGTTCATTCTCATCAGAACTAGAGAAGCAACACACCATAAAAGGAAAAGTGGCGAAAAAGGCTGTTAAGGAGAAAGGGACAGAAGTATCCAGAGAACAAGAGGATAGAAAAGTGTTAAAGGATGACGAGGAATTTTCTGGAGAAGTCAAGAAACAGAAAGTTGCTTTCTTAGAAGATCACCTAGTCTTAGAGAAAAGGAAATTTAAAAAAAATGTGACAAAACTGGCCAAGCAAGAAGTGAAGATAGCTGAGGAAAAAAAGAAACTGACAACACAAGAGAAAAAATTAATGCAAAGAAAGGAGAAACTGACCAAAGATGATAAGAAACTGACCCATTCAGAAGAAAAAATGGCTTGGGAAGAAGAAATACTTGCTTCTCCACACAAGAAATTGACTATTGAAGAGCAGAGGTTAGCCCTAGAAGAAAAGAGACTGACTGGAAAAGAGAGGAAACTACTAAGGAAAGGAAAGAAATGGATCTGGAAAATGAGGAAGCCAACCCTGGAAAGGGGAAGGTTGGACTGGGAAAAGATTATGCAGGCCCAAGAAGAGGAGGAGCTGAGTGAGGAAGAGGAGGAACTGGCTGAGACAGAAGAGGAAATGGCCTGGGAAGAGGCAGAGCAAATCCTGGACAGAGAGAAACAAGTTGGAGAAAGGAAGAAACGGTCTCACAAACAGAAGAAACACATCCAGGGAAAGGAGAAACATGTTACTGAAGACGCCTGGAAACTGGGGAAATTGGCCCACGATCATTTATTTAGAGAAGAGGAAGGATTGTCTGGGGAAGAGAGAAAACAGGTATTAGAAAGAAAGAGCTTGGCAGAGCCAGAGAGTATATTGGCCAGAAAAAGGAAGAAATCATTGGGAAAAGAGGGAAAACAGGCCCATAAAAAGAAAAAAATCCAAGAAAAGAAAAAACAGGTTGGGGAACAAGATGAAAAGGAGAAACAAGAACAAAAAAAGAGACAGGCTCAGAAAGAGGAGAAAGAGGCCAAGAAGAATAAACAGGTAGCCTGGAAAAGAAAGAACCTGGACCTAGAAGAGGATGAAAAGTTTGGAGAACTGGAGAAATTGTCACAAGAAGATAAACAGCCCTGGGGAAAGGCAAGAAAGGCTTGGAAAAAAGACAGAAAGGTGCAGAAAGAGGATACAGCAACTAAGAAAAAGATACAAAAAGCCTGGGAAAAAGAGGATATGGACCTAGAAAAGGAGGAACAGGCTAGGGAAATACAGAAATGGTCACAGAAAGAGAAACAGTCCCGGAAAGGAAGAAAGTGGGCCGAGGAAGAAAAGAGATGGGATCAGAAAGAGGAGAAGTTGGCTCAAAAAGTGAAGCAAGAAGCTGAGGAAAAAAAACAACAGCCCAGAGAAAAAATGAAACTGGTCCCAGAAGAGGAGAAAATAATGGAAGAAATTGAGAAAGGATCCCCAGAAGAAGAGAAACAGGCCATGGAAAAAGAGAAACAAGCTAAAAAACAGAAGAAACAAATTGGGAAAGATGAAAAAGCAATTGAGGAAAGAAAACAATGGACCCGGGAAAAAGAGAAAGTAGCCCTACAAAAGGAGAAACTAGCCCCGGAAAAAAGAATATGGAGTGGAAAAGATGAGAAATGGTCCCAGAAAGAGGAGAAAGAGGTTGAGCAAAAACCACAACAGGCCTGGGAAGAAGAATTGTCCCTAGAAGAGGAGGAACAGGCTGGTGAAATGGAGAAACACTTGCAGGAAAAAGAGGAACAGGCCAAGGAAATAGAGGAAAAGAGACTGACCCCAAAAGATAGTGAACTGGCCAAGAAAGAGAGTCATATTGCTGAGAAAGAAAAGGCAATAGCCAAGGAAGGAGCTGGCATAAGTAAGAGACAGAAAAAAATAACCCAAGAAGAGAAAGAAATGAAAGAGGATAAATTGACCCAGGAAAAGAGGAAATTGGCCTATGACATTAGGATCCAGGAGAGTGATGTTGCCAAGGGAAAAAAGAAAATAACCAAAGAGGAAAGAATACAGGCAGTGAGGAAACTGGATATGGAAAAACAGATTAGTTCTGAAGAGAAAGAGGCTAGTTCCAGGGCAAAAAATGTCAGAATGAAAGAGAGTCAACTGTTTAGGATCCCAGCTGGAGTAATTAGAGAAGTGAGTACAGTGCCTTTGGAAGAGATACAAATAACTGAGGAAGAGAAATCATCCCCCAAAAGGACCCTAAAAAGGAAAAAGGAAAAGATGTTGATTAAGGAGAAAGAAAGGCTGAGTAAGAAGAAAAAAGAGGGCCCAAATGAGGAAGAGAAGGAGCTCCTTAGCGAGGAGGAGGAGAGCCTGAGTGAGGAAGAGAAGGAGCTTCTCAGTGAGGAGGAGGAGGAGAGCCTGAGTGAGGAAGAGGAGCTCCTTAGTGAGGAGGAGGAGGAGGAGAGCTTGAACGAGGAAGAGAAGGAGCTCCTTAGTGAGGAGGAGGAGGAAGAGGAGGAGGAGAGCCTGAGTGAGGAAGAGGAGGAGGAAATAGAGAAGATGGAGAAAAAAGAGAAGGAGAAACAGGAAAGGCACAAGGATGTGGAGAGCCCAAGTAAGGAAAAGGAGAGCAGACTTACGGAGGCAATGCTCTTAGAAGAGGAGAGAGTATTGAAAGTAGAGCTCTCAAAGGAAGAAGTGCGCCTGTCCAAGCTAGTGACAGAAGGTGAGGATCTTGCTAAAGAAAGGAAGGGTACAGTTAGAAGGGAAATACCTTTTAAGAAAGAGAGATTTCTTGATGGAAAGAGAGACTCCAGACTTATGGACAAGGTTATGTGGCCAACAGTTAGGAAGAGCCCCTCCCAAATGCCATTCCAGGAGGCCCTGGGAAAAGAGGGAACGCCCTTGAAAGTCTTAGAGGATCATTTAGATTTAGAAGAAAAACAGGACAGTCAACTTCTTGGAGTACACCCCATGACAAGTTCATTGGGAAGACAACAAAATGTACTCTTGGAGAAAGCCAGGGATATGTTTTTACAAGCTATGGAAACAGGCTTAGAGACCCAGATCCCGGAAGGTCTCTATAAGCCAGAGTTCCAATCATCTGATATTATCATGGAACCACAGAAACCTAGATATGGACTTAAAGATGACTGGAGGAAGTGGTTCTTGCAGCATCATGATTATGTGATGGAGAAAACTAAGGGCCAGGGTCCAGCCCCAGCCACTGGCCCATCCCTTGCCTCTTCACCTGAAATGCCAGCTAAGAGATACCAAAAGCCAGCCTACTCAGAAGTAAGCTTCTCCGATGAGGATTGGATTAACAATGCCTTAATAAGGCTGGAAGCAGGAGAGCACCTTTCCAGGGACAGTTTCCATCGACTGAGCCAGCTCCTCAGAAACTTTACTTCAAAGGGATACATGAAATGGATACGTCTGACCAATCTTAAGGTCATTGCTAAACACCTCAGGCAGAACCTAGAGTTAAGTCACACTGATACATTACAATCTTGTAAGGATGTTTTGAGTCCAGTGCACTTAAAAGTGATCCCTCCAATTAGGAGAAAAGAAAAAGAGAACCGGTTGGGGCGTTTTTTTTTCCTTAACCAGTGTTACCAGCAGCTACCGAGAGGTCTCAAACCCTGCAGGCTCTCAGGTGGCATCTCTTAGCTGAGTCTTACAGGAAGAAGCAGGCACAACTGTTACCCACTGCTGTCAAGGAGATAAAGCACCTTTCTTCAGTCAGAAGGGATGTTCCTGCATCTGTCTATCCTTCTGTGGATAAAAAATCCCTGGCCTTGATATTCCAGAAGGACTTCCCAGCCTTGAGAAGGGGTGAGATCCCCAAATTTCCCAAGGCAAAGAAGAAAGCACTGCCCATTCCTTCCCCAGTGTTACCATCAACCACCAAGAGGATTCAAGTCCCAAAGGCTACAGATTGGCATCTTTTAGGAGAACCTTACAGGAGTGTGAGAGTACAACAGTTATCCAATGCTCTCAAAGAGATGGAGATGCGACATTTTTATCCCATCTCAAGAGACATTTTCACAGATGCCCATGCCTCTGTGGACAAACAAACCCTAGCACTAATGTTTCAGAAGGACCTCAGGGCTTTTAAGGGTCAGGGAAGGCTCCCCCACATACCCAAGTTGGAGAAGAAGACACAGCCCATTTCTAAAGTAATGGAAGAGGTGCCTCTATGGGAGACATCTGTGGCACTGTACCATGTCTTGCGGATGCTGCAGCAGCGATACAGAAAAGACAGCGCTGTTTGGATGGAACAGTTCTATCATCTCATGGACCTGTACCAACTTAAGTCCCCCCAAATCCAGAGGCTTCTACTAGAGCTGCTGCAGAGAGAGAAACTCCATCCTCAAGAGCCCATCTACAAAAAGGACCCAAAGACCAAGGAGCTGGCACATGGTGAGCGGCTGTTCTACCACCTGTTTTGTGGTAGTTCCCGTGCCCCTGCAGGTCCCCTCAAGTTCCAGGATGTGGTACCCCTCCCTGGGCAGAACAGGGTGCATGCTATGCAACCTGTGGGCATTGCCCAGTATGGCTTCCTAGAACTTGCCTGGAAAAGCCTACCACAAGTCAATCCTAATCATATTGAGAAGCTACTCAGCATCCCTACTCCTACTCCCTGATTTGGCCTCGTATTAGGACTTTGGGATCCTACTGGAAAATGAGCCTGGGTCACAGATTTTAAGCCTCTTTACTTGTTCCCCACTTTGAGGTGGAGTTAGATAAGGACTTGTCTTCATTTGGCTACAGAAAGCTGCAAGTGTATACTGAATAAAGTGATATTTCTTGTTTGCAACAAATATTCTGGCTTCTCTTTCTCCTCAAGCCTAGAATCCCCTGGCAAGTGGCCAGAGAAAACAGATACCCTTTGTCCTAAGGGGGACAGATTTTTGGTTAGTGGGGTACATCCTTTGGAGGGCAGGGGACAGTATCTAATCAACTTTTGGTAGAAAAATGTCTGTCCTAGCACTCTTTTTCTTTCTGGCTAATATTTCCTTTCCCTGGCTTAGAGGGTCTTTGAGGGAGAGTGTCTGGCACACGTGGACTTTTATTTATTTAGCATCAATATGAGAAGCAGAGAAAGTCCATTAATTTTACCCCGCTACAAACTTTGATGTTGACTAAGTTCCTGATCATCTCTAAGCCTCAGTGTTATCATCTACATTATGGGCATATAGAGTGAAATAGTGGTTAAGAATGCCAACTTTGAATTCAGAAGAATTCTCATTCCAGTCCTTGTTCTGCCATTTACTAGATCTTTGATCTTAGTTTTTGGTTTCCTCAAAGTAAAATGGTGACAATAATGCCTACTTTAGCAAAATGCTTAACACAGTCCCGGAATATAGTTCTCTTTCTAATTGGTATCTATTTAATGTGTGGATGAAAATACGGGTTCTAGAATTAAAGCAGGATTTGAATAACTGCTCTACAATTTAACATGTAATCTTGAGCCAGTGATGTCACTTCTCTAAGCCTCAGTTTTACTGTATGCAAAATGGGGCTCATTATGAGGCTCAAATGAGATTCCGTTTATGCCCACTTCAGTGTACTGAAAACATAGGAGAGGAAGTAAAGACTAGAGGAGGGGCCTGAGACCGCAAGGGAGTTTGTGGTACCCTGGGAGACAGAGCTCACGGAGAGAACTTGCAAGAGCAAGGGAGGAGTTAGAGCATGAAGGAGGGGCTTGGAAGACTTGTGCGTAAGAAATCCCTGAAGGAGGTGACAGATTCTAAGGAAAGCCTTGGGAGCCCAGGAGGTCAGAAGCCTGGGAGTATTGTTAAGAAACCCTGGAGCAGGAGTCAGATCTCAGGGGAAGAGTCTGGGAGTCCAAGGGGAATAGATGGAGCTGATGAGGTGGAGAAACTAAAAAGTCCTGGAACAGATCCAGTTCACAGGGAAAGTATAAGAGAGCCCAGTAAAAGCAGCAGATTTTAAGGCTGGAGGAGCCAGGGACCCCTGGGAGGAGGAGCCAGGGCTAAGCAGAGTTGCCTAGAGGATTAAGAAGCCAGAGTACAATGGGGAAGAGTTCAGGAGAAAAGAGAGGTATCTAGGACCAAAGGAGAGGCCTTAAATCCAGGGGAGAGAAGCCAGAGCTCAGGTGATTGAGAAGCCAGAGCCCAGAGAAGAAGTCTGCAAGCTCAGAATATGTTGAATAAGTCTAAAGACTTAAAACATACACCCATAAATGAGGTAATTCCCTCTTGACCAAATACCTCCTCAGCTATCCCATATATTTCTAGAAGGGGGGAAAACAAAATGTATAAAGGATATACCCCACTATGTCATGTTTATTTTGAGGAAAACTGTTATAATCACTTTATTATAAGTGCTGATGCAGCAGGAAGATGAGGGCATTTGTTTTTCTTAAACACCAGTTTTACCATCCTTTTTACAGTTCCAGAAACAGAACTATAAAGAAGAAACTGAGTTTATAGCTTATTAATGTATTAATAGTAATACATTTGAAAAGCAAATTATTATAAATTTACTGATCAGTTTTGTAAACACCTCAAACTTGTCAATGGTGTCTCTAATATAATAGATTTTAGTTGATTTTTAAGAATAATATATTACATTTCTGATTGTCAAGAGATGTTCAAAGAGCTTAGGTTTGTAACTGATCAATAAATAGAGACATTTAGTTTGATAAATCCTTAAGATTTGGTGTATTAGTTGTCCAAATAGAATAGGGAATACTGATTGTTTAATGTTTAATGAAATTCTAATTGATAGATTAAAACATTAAAACTTGGCTTTAAACAAAGATAAGTATTAGTATTTCTACATATTAAATATTCCCAAATTAGTGAGAATGTCTAATTAGTGAATATTGCTAAATATTTACCATTAATACTAAAAATTCAGACATGAGAGAATCTATCAATGCTAATGTGGTTGCTGAGAAGTATCAAAACTTTTTAAGCAGCCAAACTGCATTTTATGCCCTTCCAGAAGAGCTCAGGTGTCCCAAGAAGTATTATCAAAAACAAAGGATACTTGACTTTTACTTAGGGGCTCATATAAAAAAGATGTTTCCTTTAAGGTGGTTAAAAATCTAACATTGAAAAGAGAACAAATCAACAGATACACAAAACTCCATAAGTTTTCAAAGACAAGTTCTATCTCATTTTTAAAGAATCGATAATTGAGATATCAAATGTAAAAAATATAATACAAAAGGAAATTAGAATACAATCTCACATATAAACATAGATGCAAGTATTCTAAGTAAATATTAACTAATAGAATTGAATAGGTATCTAAAGAGTAATATACCATGGCTAACCAGGGTTTATTCCAGGGATGTTTAAAAATCAAGAAATCTACCAGTATCAATAAATTAAAAGAGAATAAGTACATAGTATATGACTATAGCAACAGATAATGAAATGGCATTTGGAAAAAATGTGAATTGCTATATAGGCAATTCATTATCATTCCTTTCTGAAAGGCCCTAATTTCAATGTTAATTTTCTATTTAATTTATGACTTTTACATCAGATTATAAATTTCAAAAAGCAAGTGAGAAAATGTTACTATGCAGATTAATAACTGTAAAATGGATTTCTATTATATAATGGAGAAATCTGGCAGTCATCTGTCTAACCAATTGATAACATCTAGCATCATTAATACTGAGAAAGCATTATGTTTTTTAATGTATACAACATCTACTCAGTTGAACTTCTTGCTCTAGCTTCAGATTTACTAGAACTATTAGTGATAGAAGAACAAGATAAATGATCCACATAGAAGTAATTTTAAAAATCCAGAATGTGACATATTCAACAAGACAACTATCGTATACTCTTCAAAAATCCAAAGTCATGAAAAAATTGTGGGGATACTATTCTAAACCAGGAGTTGGCAGTCTTTTTGTTGGTGCAGTGGTGAAAGACAAGATAGTAAATAGTTTAGGCTTTGTGGGCCATAAGGTCTCTGGTATAACTACTCGACTATTCTAGAGTAGCATGAAATCAGCCATATAATATGTAAATAAATGAACATGGCAGTGCTCCAATAAAACGCATGTTTTAAATCCTCTCTTTTTTTTACATTAGATTTTAATCAGAAAGAATTACTTAAAGCTCAAAAAGGCATAAGTAATTACATGAAGCCTTTCTAAGTTCATTATACCTATATGGACATTATCTCACAGTAATTCACCAATATTAAGATAAACAGGATAATATTAAAAATAGTATCTAGTATTTATTAAAGACTATGTGCAAGATAGCTTTCCAAATTTTCTACTTTTCAATTAACAGCACTATAATGTAGGTATTATTATCATCATTGGAAGAAGACTCCCAGAAAGATAAGTATCTTTCCCAATGTTATCCATGCTGTAAGGAATGGAATGGCAATTTTAATGGTTCTCCCACATTTGTTAGATCAACAGGGGTTTTCTGTGGTATATTTTCCCAAGTCTAACAATTACTGATTAGGGCTGGAAGGCATTTTATAAATAAAGTACATAAAACAAGGGCATGCCTACATTCTCTGAATTTTCCTCTAATGTAAATATTCTAACAATCCATAAATAGAAAAATACCAATAAAGGCTTTCTGATGTTATATAAAAGTATAAATTCTCTGGATAGTAACATTTGGATCATAACTAAAAATTCTGAAATATTATTTATATTCTGAGGAGTTCTCACCAATAAAAATTATTTAATGCTCTGTAAGAGCTGACCATATCTAAAAGCATTCCCACATTCTTTTCTTTCAAAGGCTCCCTCAGTGTTATAAATACTCTGAGGTACTGTACATTGTCTACTACGTACATATGCTTTTCCACAGCCCTCATATTCATAAGATTTCTCTCCATTATGAATTCTCTGATGTACTTTAAGACTTGAGCTAAGCCTAAAGGACTTCTCACAATTCTTACATTTAAAAGGTCTCTCATCATTGTGAATACTCTGATGTCGAGTGAGTCGTCCATACACACTAAAGGCCTTCCCACATTCCTTACATTCATAAGGTTTCTCACCAGTATGAAATCTATGATGTATAGTAAGTTGATGGCCACTTCTAAAAGCCTTCCCACAATCTTTACATTTATAAGGTTTCTCACCAGTATGAATTCTATGATGCATTCTAAGACTTTCAACATGACTAAAGGACTTCCAACATTCCTTACATTCATAGGGTTTCTCACCAGTATGAATTCTCTCATGCCTAACAAGGTTTGAGGCACGATTAAAGGCCTTCCCACATTCTTTACATTCATAGGGTTTCTCACCAGTATGTATTCTCTGGTGCATCTTAAAGCTTCCACCATACATAAAGGCCTTCCCACACTGTTTACATTTATATGGTTTTTCACCAGTATGAATTCTCTCATGTTGAATAAGTGCTGAGGCATGACTAAAGGCCTTCTCACATTTGTTACATTCATAGGGTTTCACACCGATATGCACTCTCTCATGTGGAATGAGTTGACAGACACGACTAAAGGTCATCCCACACTCTTTACATTCATAGGGCTTCTCTCCGGTATGAATCCTCTCATGTTGCCCAAGATTTGAGGCTCGACTAAAGGCCTTCCCACATTCTTTACATTTATAGGGTTTCTCACCAGTATGAATTCTGTGATGCACCCTAAGGTCTATGCCACGACTAAAGGTCATCCCACATTCACAGCATTCATAGGGCTTTTCACCAGTATGAATTCTGTCATGTTGCACAAGGTGAGAAGCTTGACTAAAGGCTTTTCCACATTCCTTACATTCATAGGGTTTTTCACCGGTATGAATTCTCTGATGTATTCTAAGTCTTCCACCTTGACTAAAAGCCTTCCCACATTCATGACACACATAAGATTTCTCACCAGTATGAACCTTTCCATGTTGAGCGAGGTGTGAGGTACGACTAAAGGCCTTCCCACACTCTTCACATTCATAGGGTTTCTCACCAGTATGAACTCTCTGATGAACTCTAAGGTCTATACTACGACTAAAGGTCATTCCACATTCCTCACATTTATAGGGTTTTTCACCGGTATGAATTCTCTGATGTTGCAGAAGGTTAGATACACGATTAAAGGCCTTTCCACATTGCTTACATTCATAGGGCTTCTCACCAGTATGAATTCTCTGATGAACTGTAAGGTCTGTATGACGACTAAAGGCATTCCCACATTTGTCACATTCATAGGGTTTCTCTCTATTATGAATTCTCTGATGTAGAGATGAACATTTTGTATAAATTTGCTCTTTTCCATAGCTGATTATTTCATACCTTGTCTCCAGATCTAAAAGAAATAAGAAAAACATTTTGTTTTCCTGGACCAAAAAAGTTAAATGTTCTATTGATGTTTTTTAAAATTAAAAATATCATCAATTAGAGATGAATATTTTAAAGATCTCTAAACTCAGCTATACACTTTACAAAAGTTACTGAAAATGTCTCCATAACTCATTTATCATATTTTATTATATCGATTAAATGTACTCTTTCCTGTATCGGTTTCCCTATAAAATATAAGCAAATATATTAAAAGCAACTATTTATATTTGATCTCCCTCCAATTATATTTTTCCTTAAAAATACAGATACTTGGCTGGGCATTTGAGACCAGCCTGAGCAAGAGTAAGATCCCATCTCTACAAAAAATAGAAAAAATTAGCCAGGTGTGGTGGCAAGCACCTGTAGTTCCTGCTACTCAGGAAGATGAGGCAGGAGAATTGCTGGAGCACAGGAGTTTGAGGTTGCAGTGAGCTATGATGATGCCACTGCACTCTAGCCTTGGCAACAGAGAGAGACTATGTCTCAAAAAAAAAAAAAATACAGATTCTGTGGTTCATTCCCACCTATACACAGTCATGTGTACTTTTTGTTGCTCCCTATATCAAATAAAATGCTGAAAGTTTTAAAAAACTTATGCTGGGCATGGTGGCTCAAGCTTGTAATCTCAGCACTTTTGGAGGCCAAGGCAGGAGGATCACTTGAGCCTAGGAGTTCAAGAGCAGTCTGGGCAACATAGTAAAAATTACAAAAAACTTAAAAATTAGCTGGGCATGGTGGCACACACCTGTAGTCCTAGCTACTCAGGAGGCTGAGGCAGGAGGATCACTTGAGCCCGGGAGTTTAAGGCTGGAGTGAACTATATAATTGTGCCACTGCACTCCAACCTGGGCAACAGAGCAAAATGCTTTCTCTAAAAAAAAGTTTAATCAGATCATGGATCCTAATTAACCTTAGCAAACAAATACAGCTCTTCTTAATGAATGACATCTAATATGATCTGATCCATTATAACACATTGACTTCATATCTTACTTACTCATCCTTCAATTGCTCTGATCTACTTGCTGCTTTTGAAGCACATGACAGTCATGCCTCCTTCAGGGCCTTTGCATGTGTGGTTTACTCTTCTTGGTATGCTCTTCCTAATACAGTTGACCCTTGAACAATGCAAGGGTTAGGGGTGCCAACATCCCATGCAGTTGAAAACCCATGTATAGCTTTTGACTCCCCCAAACCTAACCACTTACAGCCTACTGTTGACCAGAAGCTTTACTGATAACATAAGCAGTCAATTTACACATATTCTCTGTATGTTATATGTATTATATACTGTATTCTTACAATAAAGTAAGCTAGAGAAAAGAAAATATTAAGAAAATCATATGGCATTGGATCATCATAAAGGTTTTCATCCTTGTTGTCTTCACATTGAGTAAGCTGAGGAGGAGGGATTGGTCTTGCTGTCTCAAGGATGGTGGGACGGAAGAAAATTTTCATATAAGTGGACCCTCACAGATCAAATATATGTTGTTCAAAGATCAACTGTATACACAAATGGCCTAAGCCCTTACGCTTCACATCTCGGTTCAAATATCTACTCAGAAAATAGTTCTTGACCTTAAATTTAAATTTGCCCTGTTATTGGTTAGTTTTCTTCACAGTACATTTTACTACCTGATATTTATCTACTTATTTATGTGTTTGTTTTGTCTTCCCTAATAAACTATTAACTCCTATTTTATGTGCCATATACAAGAATGAATATATTTTTAGGCATTGGAGCCGCATATAGAAATATAAGTGAACAAGAAGATCTGGAAATCAGTTGGGTCCAAAATATAGGTGCACCAGGAAGGATAATGCCCATCACCGATTTGGGAGGAAAGATGAGAAGAAAAAAAGTGAGTGGTTAATTATGGTGAATATGAAGTGCACTTAGTAGCTCATGCAGAGTATTTATCTTCCTTCCAGATCATAAGCCTTTTCTCTGCTGCAAATGGAGATTTCCAACCAACATTCCAAGTGTATGTCTCTTCCTTGACCATGCAGGCTGTTACCTACACAGCTGGCTTCCCAGAGCCTGACTTACTCTTACTTACCTGTACACCATGTTCTTGTTTCTTCCCTCGCAATCATCCAGGGCTCTTTTCCCTCCTCCAATAATGTGATTACATCTGGCTTAGAAATGGCATGTCCTGCTTACAAAGAACGAAAAATACCACATGACACAGAAAAATACTTTGCTGTCAAAATTATAATTGTAATAAATTAAAGGTCAAAATTATATTGAATAAGGTTTTTTAGAAGAGGGTGAGGAAAATACAGAACAAGAAATTAGGTCAGGTAAGGCTTTTTTTTTCCCCCCACAATTACACAACTATATCCTCTTTTTTTTTTTTTTTTGAGACAGAATCTCACTCCACTGCCAGGGCTAGAATGCCATGGCATCAGCCTAGCTCACAGCAACCTCAAACTCCTGGGCTCAAGCAATCCTTCTGCTTCAGCCTCCTGAGGAGCTGGGACTACAGGCATGCGCCACCATGCCTGGCTAATTTTTTCTATATATTTTTAGTTGTCCAGCTAATTTCTTTCTATTTTTTTTGTAGAGATGGGGTCTTGCTCTTGCTCAGGCTGGTCTCGAATTCCTGAGCTCAAATGATCGGCCGACCTCGGCCTCCCAGAGAGTTAGGATTACAGGCGTGAGCCACTGTGCCCGGCGTATATCCTCTTTTTCTTTAGCGCATACACAATACTGCATTTGAAAATACAGACTCTGGAGCCTGGTATCAACTCCTGTCTTTGCCAGCTTCCAGCTATGTGACCTTGGGCAAGTCACTTAAAACCACTGTGCTTTAGTATTCTCGTTTGGAAAATGGTGATAATAATAAGATTGTTGAATTTAATAAGGATTAAATCAGTTGAGATATATATGTAAAATGCTTAGGGCACTGCCTATAGTAAGCACAATATTAGCTATTAACATTATTGATATTACGTTTTACTAAGAGTACACAAGAAGAGATACCTATAGGATATTCATTCCATTTTAAATGTAATGTTTATAGGTTACAACTTGCAACCCCAAATCAGACAGAATCTGTCTTAGGAAATAGAATGTGTTTCCTTCAGTTTTAAATGAATTCCATTTTTCCAATCTACCACTATATAAATTGTAGCAGTTCTTTTGATAATTAGAGCAATTCAAGACCCCATGTCAAGCTGATTTCCCTGTAAGTGGATCAGATGATACAATGGAGTATCTACAGTAATTCTGAGTATAAAAAAATAGAAAACCTGGATCCTTTCACAGGTTAGCCACAGAATCCTATATGCCACAGAACCCTAATCTAGCCCTTCCTCATGAAGGAAGAAAGGCAATTGCAAGTAGGACCAGAGGAAGGTGTGAACATCACTGAAGGACAGAGAAGACAAATGTGTTAAATGAAGTTGTTATTTCCAACCCAATAAAGCTCAAACCACTTTTTTGGGAAAAAGGGAAAAGAAATTTGACTAGTTTCTTGAAAGGCAGCCCTAAAAATCACAGTGGAAAAAACACATTTCCTAGAGAGCAGATTCTAAGTTATTCCAAATTATCTGAGACAGAAAACATACCCAGTGAGACCAAGTTACCATAGTTCTCCATCATCACATCCTGGTACAAGGTTTTCTGAATAGGGTTGAGACATTCCCACTCCTGCTGTGAGAAGTCTATGGCCACATCCCCAAATGTCATTGATCCCTGAAATGGCAAACCCACGTATTACTGGAGAAATTAAAGGAATATTTTGAAGATTGGAGGAAAAGAGATAAGGACAGTACTGCAGGAAGAGAGCAATATAACAAGCATGTAAGCTACGAATCTATAATATGGCAGGGGACTGAAGCAGGATGTTTACATATTTTTGAAGAAGATTGCTAGCATATACGAAACTGTGTGGCATACTCTAAAATATCTAAACAACTTGGGAATAGATAAAATAATGCTTGCCTATTAAATTAAGTGGTGAACACAAGCATAATGTGTGACTGGTATTTGTCACATAAATTTATTAGTAAGTATGAATTGCTGGGGA